CTCCTTCCCATACAGTCCTGGTTTCTTGTTGTTGATCTCCGATAGTCTTGTGGTGTAATTCTCTTGATAGTGACTTCCCCCCACCCCCAGCTCTCTTTAAATTACAAAGTGACTCAGCACCAGCTTCACCCCCATTGCTCCCAGATCCCTTTCATTTGTCACCCTGTCTGCATATCACTGTCTGTGAGTCATTCTGCTGATCATTTATCTCCTTTCAAAGTTGGCAGAGAAACGCCAAGACAGTCTATTCCTATCAGATAAGATTCTCTGAAATGGATTCCGAATATATTAAAGCCTCATTTATCGGTTATTGAGGGGTCAGTCAAGTATTGCGCAAAGCTTAATTTTCCTGATAACCAAAACTTATCATTTAAAGAAACAGTTTACATTTCCAAGGCATATTAAAAAGTTCTTTGCATTGACAAACAGGTAGGATTGAACACAAGAGATAAAGGGGATTTTCCTACAGGACAGAGGCTGGAACTAGGAAAAATCTAAATTTCCTTCCAACTCTTGAGTCCTGTGGTATGTGTAAAACGTCACATTGCTCATTGGGCCACCATCTTGGGCATGACCGTGAACCCATGAAGAGGACTCTGGGGGCGCAGCGGTGGATGGCGGCTCATGATTTCTGGAGGCATCATGTCATGTCCTTGGGCACCACTGGGCTTGTAGCTCCCTGTTCCTACATTAAATGTCTCAAGTCTCAAGGCTGCTTTGTCTTCACAGTTCCAGAGTCTTTTCAATCTCCCCTCCATCTCAGGCCCCTGGCTACTATTTTGCCGTTCAGGGTGCCCCCTTCTTGTGGGCGCTAGGGCCTTCTCGTTAGTGGCTTTTGATCAGCAAAGAGGAGGGAAGTCAGAAACCACTCTTACTAGAATCACATGCTGAGTGAGAATCAGCAAGCTCTGAGGGGCAGGCAGGGACAAAGGGCAGGTGCTCAAGTAGTTTCCTTTCACTCCAGAAGTGGCTATGACTGACCCACAATCTACAAAACACTCCACTCCCCAGAAAAAAAGCTCTCTGGTCACCTGTAGATTGGTCATCTCTTAGCTCTCATTTTAGGCTGAGAGAAACATGATCTGAAATTGAGTGGAAGAACCCCATATTTTCCCAGCTGTGGGAAAGATGTACTTTCAAGATTTAGAAGTGGATCCGGCATGTCCCACGCAAGGCCACAAAACAAGGTGTGCAGAGACACAGTGGTTTCTCTGAGGCCACAGGTTGAACACTCCTGTTGTCCAATAGGAGCCTGTTCCTCTACAGCCTTGGGTCCAGTTCATCCAAACTCAAGGTCCAGAATGGCCACTCTGCAAGGCTTGTCCCCAGCAAGCTGTGCGCCCCCCACCATCTCCTCTCAGAGCCCGGATGCCTGGCTCCTTAATCTCTAACCCTCTTTTGTCTCAGCGTCTGTCCTCTCTCCTGACCATTATAGAGATGTCATATGATCTTTTGTCCAGTCCCTGGGACACTTTACAGTGAGCTGCCCTTGGGGTCCCAGTTCCGGCCCTGGAAAGTCAATGTCACACAGCTAGCCTGGAAAGTTTGAACACACGTGTCGCTTACTTGCCTTCCTCTGTGACCCAGTGCAAACCCTGCATTCCCACCACTGCCCCCAAGCCACCCCCCAGTCTTACCCTTGCCGTCAGCAGGCCATTCCCCTTCCTTATCCCTCCTGCCTAAGGGAGCCTCCTCTCCCTTTCCACTCACCCACATGCCTCCAGCCATGTGGCCCCACCGTCTCCACAAGGTGACCCTTGATGCAGCCCCGCCCTGCATTCCCACCCAACATTCTTTTCAGAACCATCCTGTGGCTCCTGATCTGAAGTGCCTCACCTTGTCCCAGTCTAGATGCAGACCTTGTGCCCCTCCTTAGTTGGTCAGCTCTGGGAGAGCAGGACAGTGTCAGCCTCCCCCTCAGCATCCAGGAAAAGAGGCAAAGAAGGGAGAAAAGAAATTTCCTACCCTAGAGAAGGGAGGCAGATCCATAATCAAACAATGCACTGGGGTTCTTGCTCCTGTAGGGCTTCAAGATGTTTGGTGAACTGAAAAATCTATAAATTGCAATGGGAATCAAGAGGTAGAAGTGATCGGTTCTGCTCAAGAATTAGTCAAAGGTGAGAGGGAGGCCACGCCTCGGAGGCCGATTTTCTGATTGGCCCGACCCTCCAGTCAATGGGACATCACGTGTGCCTACACACAGGTCACAGAATGGCTCTACTCAGGGAGATGCTGAAAGTTTGATGCTCTCAGGAGGGCACCCAGTGTGGGCTGGGGGCTGAGAGTGTGGGAGGGCATCTCAGCAGATGCAGGGGCTAGCTCATGGCGTGACCCTCTACTGTGGCAGCAAGCAGGACCTTCGGGAGGATTGCATGTCATGGCTCTTGGGAGAGCTTGTGTTGGCTGGGCTGAGGCTGGTCTGTGGCAATGAGGGGTTGGTGTCTCAGGGACAGTAGGTCAGACGTAGCGACTACTTAGATGTGTGTGAGGGTGGGCATGGGAGTATAACCACTGACTGAGAGAAGGATGAGCAAACCAACACCCTGGTTTTGGTGGGAAGAATGATTCACAACCAGGGTCAACCCCCCACAGATCGCTCCTCTGAAACGTGTCATTGGACTTGCCTCCTGCCCACTGTAAGATCCTCTTAGGACCTCCCAGCACCTCATTTCCACCACCCCCATCCTTCCAGGCTCTCGCGGTTGCTACATCTGCTTCCAAGTCTTGGGGCTGCATGCACATCTCTCCTCCCAACTTGGAAGTAAGGGGGGGTGGCCCTCAGGCCCGTGTGTGGCAGTGTCCTGCATGAACAACAGCCTAGAACACAAACCAGCCTTGTCAGCCTTCCCAGTTAGTGTTTGTCATGTCAGAAAACCTTGTACTTTAGGGAAAGTCTTTACAGTGCAGTTCTGACCCCCTGGAGTCAGCATGCACCCCACAGGTGAAGGGCACCGTTCCTCACTTCAGACACCAGCTGCAGCTCCACGGCCCCCAGGCCACCCGTGACTCAGACCAACTCACTAGCATTTGGGGCTTCCCACGACCCCAACAGGGTGGATGATTGCCTAGAACAACTCACAGAACTCAGTTAAGTGCCATACTTAGGATTTCAGTCTTATTATAAAGGATACAATCAGGTCCGGACATATGAGAGGCAAGGGCAAGGTCTGGGAGGGTCCCCAACACAAAGCTTCCACGTCTTTGGGAGAGATCATCCTCCCGGCACACAGATGTCTGATGACTGACCAGGAAGCTTAACTGAGCTTGGTGTCCAAAGTTTTTACTGGGGTGTCATCATTGGCCACGTGACTGAGCTTGGTCCCCAGCTCCCACCCCTCCTCTTCCAGGAGATCAGAAGGTCTGGCTGATTTCACTGGCTCAAAGACCCAACCCTCTAACCACATGGTTGGTCTTTCCAACATGGCGGGTCCCCTCCTAGAACTCTGCAGGGTGCCATGAGTGCCGTTGTTGGCATAAACTCAGGTGTGGGCTGACGGGCCCCCCACCAACAGCTAAGACAGTCCCTCAGGAACTTCCAAGGGCTTAGAGTTCTACCTCAGGAACCTGGGACAAAGACCAGACCAGCTCTTTATGATACCACAGTCTTATTTGGACATATTTATCCAAGTTTATCTCAGTTTGTTTTCAGGTGGGACTCCTTCAACAACTTTGGTTTAGGTTTCAGAACAAACCAATTTCAATAGGAAATGGGGCGTGGGAGAAGAATAGGTATTTTATCCTGGCATTCCCTTCAGATTGGTCTTCACTGGGAATTTAAGGGAGAATCAGTTACTGGAGAACTCAAAGAGAAACAGCTCCCTCTCTGATTTAAAACCTAACTCAATTAAAGAGAAAACAAGCCAACATTTCAGGCTCAAGTTGATTCTTTATTGTACTAATTTAAAGTTTCAGTCTACACTGGAAATACTAGTTTGTTTATTAATCGTGTGCCTGGGTTAGAGAGAGCTGTGTTTCTTAGGTAGCTGCAAGCATGCAACGGCTTAATAAATTTCAGTGTAATGAGTACGTTTTTAAAATTAAAAATATCAAGCATAATTATGGCTCTTTGTGCTGACCTATGTGGGCCAGCAGTAATTGATGTCTACGAGAGACCAAAAACTAGCGAGTGGGTGACTCGGGTCCACACGGCACCCCTCCCCCAGCACCTGCTGCAGACCTTTCTAGAAGCTGTTCCCAACAGTGGCCACAGAACAGGGTGCCGCTCCTGGATCCGTGAGATGGAAAGTTAAGCCCCAGCCTGGGGCCCCTTAGGATTATATGGTGGCAGACCCTTGCTGGTAGAAACCATGCAGCTGGATTTTGAAGCTTTGTCACCAGTAAATCCCAGGAAACACTTTTCAGTATTTGTTTGCTTTCATGGTGTTTCCATTCTATAGCCCTGCTGATGTGTTATTCACTCTTTCCAGGGCGTTTTAGTCAGTTTTCTCCACGTTTCCCTGAGTCCTTCCCCCAAACCCTGTTTGTTACCCAGCAGAAGACGGAATGACAGCACAGCCCTGTGCTGTCCGTAAGGGGCCAGCCTCGCTGTCCAGGAATACAGGCCGGCCCTTCGGCTGGTGATCCCACATGCTAGCGTTCCAGACTTTCGTATTCAGTCTTATTTCCCAGGCCTTTTCCTGTTTACATGGCTTCCTGCATTTCCATTAACAGCTTCGGGTTGTAAGAACTAATTGCTGACCGAGTTTTCTCAATTAAATAACATACTGTGTAGAAATTGACCCTCCCCACCCGACTGAAGGTACGGAGTCATCAGCTGCGTAATCTCCACCAGAAGGATCAGATCAAATTTCTGTGGTAGAAAAAACAACGTTGTGAACGGGGAAGGGTTGCGGGGGGGGGCAGTCAGTATTTGTGTTTGGGGCATATTTTATATTCTCCATTTTCCAAACATTGCCCGCCAGGCCTGTGCAGGGTAAGGACCAGGCCAACTGTCAAGTCTGATGTGCGCTCTCTTCTCTTTTTGTTCCTTTGTGCCCAAGTGAACTGCCTCACTCACCTCAGAACCTGCTGGCCAGCCTGAACTCTTCCCACAGCCACGCCGTAATGCTGTCTTGGGTTCGGCCCTTTGATGGAAACAGCCCGGTGCTTTATTACATCGTGGAGCTGTCTGAGAACAGTAAGTAATGAAGCCAAGTCGTCACCTGGGACAATAATCAGATTGCTCTCTGCACTCGTAGCACCCTCAACCCTTACTTCTGACCCCAAACGACCAGGAAGATGCTACTGATGCTTTACGGAGTTCCAATGAAAACCCCAGCTCTGGCTTCGGGAAAGATAGAAGGTGACATGGGAGCCTGTGAGGGACGAGAAGGAAGCCTGGGGTCTTCCCGTGAGAGCCCAGATCTGGAGGCCGAGGCCCCAAAGGGAGGCTGTGCACACTCCCGTTCAGCACCGTCCCCAGGGCCAACTCGGGCTTGGGGAACAATGCTGCACCTGGGGCTGGTTGGGAGCCAAGGACAATACTAGTTAGCGTCTTCACACGTTTCCTCTGGCGCAGACACGGGCTAAGTATTCCCGGGGCCGTCCCTTCCTCCCCCTCTTGGCCTCCGTCAGCATTTTCTGGCTTTGCTCCGGCCCCATTGGTCCTCCTTCCCTCCTCTCTGCGGGCCACGGGACGGGCTCCCCAGCGTCTCTCCTCTCTGCCCCCTGCAGTCTCTTCTTAGGAAGTCATGTGCATCCCTGTGATTTAAAGGGCCATCTTTTCCCTGAAGAGAGATCTTGGTCTCCAGCATCCTTCCCTGGACCTCCCCATCTCTGTCTTGTGGTCTCACACATGCTTCCGTGTGAATTCTTCAAACTGTGATTTCAAGTTCTTTTAACCCTGACGATCCTCACCGCATTAGTGTGGGCATTCAAATCTTGGTTCCAGCCCCACGGCACCCTTGGTGAGGCCTATGTTGCTCCAGCTGGAAGGCCAAGAACAGGCGCTCCTCCCTCCCTCACCTGGCCCCACGCCCACATCCGCAGCTCAGCCACCCTGCCGGTGTGTATCCTAGGACGTGCTGGACCCTGCTCCCCTCTCCAGCTCTCACCAGGACAGCCTCTAACTGGTCCCCCTGCTTCTACTCTTCTCTTCCAAAGCATTCTGACACAAGCAGAAACACTCATCTTAAAATATGAAGGACGTGTCCTCCCTGGATACACCCCACAGGCGTTAGAATGAAACCCACCGTCCTTGGTGCCTGAGTGCTTTCACCTGCCCTGCCACCCTCCCTTATTATATTATCCCTCTCCCCGTGATCCTGCACTCTCCCCGGGCCTCCCCCATGGGCGAGAGAGCCAGACCACAGGGAGCTGGGATCTTGTGACAGGCCACGTCATGGGGCCCACGGCTTGTCTCCTTGTGCCATTGTCATTATAAACAGGTCCCTGTTCAAGACAGCTAGGAATGGAGCTCTCTCGGGGTCCCGCCGCTGAAACCCGAGTCACGCAGGCAGAAGTGCACGTGGCTCGTGGGCCCTGCTCACTTCTGCAGGTGCGGGCATCCCACAGCTCTGCCCACGCTCATGCCGACCGTCCGCTCGTCCTATAATTAGTGACTTCACTCTCTGAGTCTCTCCTAATTATCTTTCATACTTCCCCCTCGTCTCGTACGAGCGATCCTCCCTCCGATCATCACATGCTCGCACCACAGCAGGCCCTATGTGCCACTCATTTTCCAGCGGAGGCAGCCGACGCACAGAGTAAGCCTCGGGCCGAGGTCACACAGCCGGTAGGAGGGGGCGGCGGGTTCCCCCCGGGGCCCTCTGCCTCCACAGCCTGTGCTCTTAATGAGATGTTCCGTGGGGCAGAGTCTCCTCTCGGCACTTGGCAGCGGCCCTGAGGTGAATGCCGACCCACGATGGTTCACTTTGGTTCCCGTCTGTGTGGAGATGAAAGGGACCCACTCTGCAAACCTGCCTTCACTTGAGTGGGGCGGTTCCCAAACCAGTCCGCTGAGAGAGGTCCCAGGAGCAAGATGTTAGTCCCTTCCCCAGGGTTTCTAAATTTACATCCTTGGCTATGACGGCTTTGGTTTTGAGCCCCATCTGAAAACCAGGTGCCCGAGGTCCGGGCCCTAGTTCCCCTTTCCCATGGACTCCTCTGACGGCCCATCCAGTCTCTTTCCTCAAATTGGGGGGTAGGGGAGTGAATGGAAACTGGTCTGTGTGCCACCATCCATCGTAGCTTCAGCTCAACAGCTCTGGTCAAAGGGAGAAGGCATCGGCATTATTTATTAAAATAACCTTTCTGAGAAGAAAAGGGTTTCCTGAGGACGTCGTGGTCATGCGGCCTGTAAGAACCGTAGGGCTTGACACCAGTCTGTATGGAAACAGCGACACAGGAGCAGAACTCTTGCCCTCAGGATTCAGACAGACACGGCCCCCGCTGGGCATCCGCATCCTTGAGACCAGGACCGGGTTCGTTCATCTCTGTATCCTCGGCCCCTGGCACCTGGTGGGCACTTGGCAAGTGAACTGAAACAAATCTCTCTGGTAGAGTCCCTTTGTGATGGACTCGGGCTACGGCCCTAGACCCTCTCCCAAAAGACAAGTGCTCCACCATTCTCAGGTTACCAAAATAAGACTTTGTTTCAAAACACCATTCCTGCTGTTTTCTCAACAGATTGCGTGGGTGATTGGTTCTTCCAATCAGACATCTTGCCCAAGCAGGAAACAGGCTTCCTGTGCAATCCTTCATTCCACCCATGCGTCCGCTCACCCAACACTGAGTCCTGACCGGTCATCTGCTTCAGCCCAGGCGCTCTGCCGGGTGCTGGGATGCAGGGCTGAGGTGATCAGTCTCCACTCATTAACTGCAAGGAGAAGGGCACACTCATCACCACATCCTGCCACATAACGAGCTCCAGCCCAGGTTCATGCTGGTGCTGTGGGAGCCTGGTACGAGGGGGACCGGCCGGGACATGAAGCAGAGAGCCTCCAAAGGGGACAGGCCCCAAGACCCGGGCCAGGCAGAGGACGGAGCAGCATCAGCCACGGCCCCAAAGCGTGAGCCTCGAGGCACGGCGAGAGCAGCTGGCTGCTACGGAGACGACAGGGGGGCTGGGCCGGGACATTGCCGGCTGTGGTGGGAGGGTCTGCCTGGGGAAATTCTCCCTCACTCTTGGTGTCCCAACTCAAATATGGCTTTCCTCCATACCTGTCCTTGACCCCCACTGCCATTGTGCCCAGGCAGCCTTCCTTCTTCCCTCCTCGGGGTCCTGATACCGTTATCTGTATTTCCCCTTGAGTATTTGGTACCGTGTGTAATAGTTACTGGTCTACAAGTGTGTCTTCCAGCGAGACCGTGAACCCCATAGGGGTGGCCCGGGCCCAATTCTCTTTGTACCTGTGACAGCCAGTAGAGAGCCTGGCACACACGGGTCCTCTCTGTGGGCGTTCAGTCGCTTCAAGTCCTGGCAAAAGGGTCTGAGAGCATCATTAGTCCCTCATTAGCATCTGATTCTCCCAACTGGACCTTTCTGGAGCTGGCTCCGACTCCCATTTGTTTCTCCTTCAGAGGCTGTGATGTCGAAGAATCTAGAGTATTCTACACTATTACTGTTATTGCTTGAAGTATTATTACACGAAGAACCTAGAGCAGATAAGACGGTTATCTCTGGGCTGATTCCAATTTCTACTGAGCAAAATACGTCTGTGGGCTTTGCCGAAACAGTTCACGGTATATTGCCAGTCGCATAGTTGCCCAACTTGGTGCCACAGCGAACAGGAAGCCCAGCTCTGTCCCCTGGGCCAAGGATCCGGCTTTATTTTTATTAGGAAGCGGTGCCCTTAAGAAACAGCTGAATATGCTGGCTAATTATGGTCGCAAAGAACAGCTTAGCAGCGGTACACTAAAATGGAAATTGTATTTGGCCTATGCTCCACACTGTGCAAGTGGACGAGTCTAACTAACTCCATGCAGCAGTCCATCCATCGGCTCCTTGGGACACACTCTGCAACCAGCTGCTCCTGGCAGGCTGATCGGGACGCCGTCCTCCTGGAAACCGTGGCCCCTGCAGGGGCCAACCTGGCGTGGCTCCGTGGCAGGGGCAGGCCCTGTGCGGCACCTGCCCTCACCACAAGCCAGCCACTACCAGAGGGCCTCTCCAGAGCTTTTATGACACAGAACTCTGCAGCCCCCACTGAGCCTTTGTCCGTGCACGTGCCTGGAGGCGAAACCCTCTCCGGAGAGCACGCTGGGCCTCGCAGGCACCCTGAGGACTGCCCCTCTGTGGAGCGTGAGAGTTCTCTTCGCTGAGGCTCAAAGAGGGCAGCAGCGTCCAAAGGTCTGGTCCGAGGTAACTGCCGGGGGGCTGCTGAGAGCACACAGGGTCTGCAGGCAAGGGGAGCCTGGGGGTCCTGGGTTAAGAGAGCACAGGATTGTTGCAGCCTGAGAGCAAGGATGCGGCGAACTGATCGAGAATTCTGGTGAACAGCTAGAGCATTTGGCCCAGTCTCTTAAGCGCTCATTGAGTTGGATCAAGAATAATCTTTCTTTGAGATGATTATGATAACAAGGCAGGAGAAGAAACCGAGAGAGGCTTTGAAGTGGACTCAGAGACAGATCAAACCCACGTTACCCGGCGTCTCATCCGGCAGCCTTTGGGGCTATCTGCCTCTATAGAGACCCGCACTTTTCATTGCTTTCAAGCTGTTCCACAACTCCGTGGATCGTACAGAACTGAAGAGTAATGCAAATAATTCTCCTCCATAGAAATGCAAATAAATCGTGTCTGGATTATGAGTGGTTCTTGCAGTAACCAGTTATCACTCTGCAGATACGAACCAGGTTTGCATCTATCTGTAAACTCATTTAGAGTGCGCGCCGCAAATTCCCTTTTGGTACCGTTGGAGCACTTACTGGTTGCTTCATGAATTAATGAACTACCTAAAATCTTTAGCACATGTTCATTTTGTATTTGGATGAGAGCCATGGTTTTACCTTTTAAAAAATGTATCCTTTCAGCTGAGTGAGTTGGCCTCTTATAGTATTAGAAACACATGCACTCATTGAACAAGCTTTGGCGATAACCCTGATTGTTGGGAGAGGCAGTCCTTAATCTAATCCTCAAATTGAGCCCTTTGCCTGCACTCCCTGAGCTGCACTAAGGCATTAATTCCACTGCTAAAATAG